CCCAGGAAGGCACCTAGCCTAAGGGGGCTGGCAGCTTCATTCCAACCGCCCCTCAGGAGAGCACCTAGCACAAAGGGGCTGACAGCTTCATTCCAACCAGACCCCAGGAAGGCACCTAGCCTAAGGGGGCTGGCAGCTTCATTCCAACCGGCCCTCAGGAGAGCACCTAGCACAAAGGGGCTGACAACTTCATTCCAACCGGCCCTCAGGAGAGCACCTAGCTTCATTCCAATGACAATCTCTCTGTCCCATCTTGGTCTCATCTAACCCTTCATGTTGATCTTGAAAAGCCATTGACTCACTGACTTTGCTTAGTAACTTCTTACCAATATATCTAAGACTGGGTTCTCTTTTTTCTCACCTTCAGATCTTGCTCCCAGACCTTTTTGTCTAATATACCATTCAGCTTAACTCCTTCCCCTGACTTCAGTTCTGTTTTGTTTTCTTGAGTTTCTCATCATGAGGACACCAAAATGGCTGTCTTTTGATGTCATATCTCCACTCACATACCCAAATAAAGCCTCTTCCTGCCCGTCCCCTCCGGTTACATGACTCTGATGCCTCTTTTACCAGCCCTGGACTGCCCTTACTGCATCAAATGTTGCTTCAGAAATGACTATTTGCTAAAGAAATAAGTGTAACTGAATAGCTGCATTTGTTTAGTGGGCAATTTTGTCCAAAACGCCTGTTATTGGATACAGTTTCTCCATTCGTACAGAACATTATGAAAAGCGTCTGAAAGCTTAAAGGGATTCTGATGCACAAATCCAGTTGGTAAATGCTTCATAGGCTCCCGTGCTGCTTGCAGTTTCTAAACAGGTTTCCAGCTTTAAGGTTTTATCCATAGCTATTTATCCACCTGCTTTTTGATGCTTAACATGCTCTCCAAACACCGAAACAGAAAAAGGGTGGATCAGTGCCTCATAGGAGCAGCCAGTTAAGAACAGGCATCCTCAGCAGTAATTGTTACAGGTGGTCCCTGCCTGCTCTGCAATTATGTCTATATTGTGTCTTTGTTTTATGCTTGTGTATACAATTTATCCCCTTTCTGCTTGCTGTTTGTTGCCTAGGCAACACTGGCTGATTTTCCCCTGGGTGCCCTGGTTTCCCACACTGGCCAGAGACACACAGTTCAAGTCACCCCATAACTCTGAGTTGGCCTGGAGTCTGTGTCGGGTCGGGGACCCTGCCTGGAGCCAGTTTCTCATCCAGGGTGCCTCCCCTGCATGGCTTGCCCTGCCCCAGTCAGGCTCTCCATTACCATGACTGGACAAGTGGCCCCCAACAATGAACACATGAATGTACAGTATCAATCTGTGACTAAGGAAACACAGCCAGGGAGGGTCTTATGCCGTCGCCCATTACTTACTGAGCTGATCTAATGTCTGCCAGTGAGTGGCAGAGAGATGCACATGAGCAGGGAGATGCTGCCCTTGCCCAAGCGTGGAACCGGCTGCGTGGGGGGCGGGGGGGGGGGGGGTTAGGCTGCTGGGAGAGGCGGCCTCCCCATGTGATACCTCTCCTAGAGTAATGATGTTCCCGGCCCTCACCCTGGCACCTTCAGGGATAATTGCCCCTGACAAGAGGGTAAGTCATCAGTGCGCTCTTGATAAGCATTACAGCCAGATGACAGGCTGCAGAAGTGTATTAGCAACAGTGTGACATATCGCATTACTGCTGTGAATGTAATAAAGGAGACACTAAACACTGTGGCAGCTTAAAGACGAGGCATTTCTCTGCTCTCCTGTGGGGCTATTATGGCTCATTTACTGGCACTGATAAGTTGCTCCTGACTGTCACCTTGGAAGGCGGACGCCGGGACCGATTAACCCCTTCTGTGCCAGGTCAGGAATCAAGTCAATTTGTGACTTAGGAAGTTAGTGGAGGTGCTTCTGGCCATCTTCTCATGGTGCTGTCCGCTTTTCTCACATTCGCCATATGGGAGCCATCTCCCCAAACTTAGGACCTCTGTTTCAGTTTTTTGATGTTTAAAATTCTTTCCTGTCAAAAAATAATGACAGTGAGCTGTAAGACTGGCTCTTTGGAGCAGGATGCTAGTACCTTCCTGTCCGCTTTTTCTGAGGATGATGTAGTTACTCAAGAGGCCTCTTCGCCTCTGTAATTATTTCAGCATTGCCAATGAAGATGGAAATGCTAACAGGTACCGATAAGAGCCAAACCTTACAACTGGTACATGTGTTTTTAGCTGTAATGTCGGAAATTATTCCCACAGACTGCATGGGATCCTGTTCTATTAGGATCAGTTCCTGGTAACATCATTTGATGATATTAGCAAATGAGTGGCTATAGTGTTTCAGTTTTATCTCGGAAATCTTAAACGCCTACATAGTGAATACTTGGTTATGATATTACAGCGATGGCCCGGTTCTGTGGCCGGGTGTATCATATGTCTGCATCTCCTGGTGCTGGTCCATAAAGGCCTGTGACACAGCTTAACCACTGGGAGGAAGACAGGAAGGCACAGAAACTTTAATGGATGCCGGCTGAACCTTTTATGGCATCGCACTCAGATAAGTCTCTCATAACCTCATTTTATGCATCCTGTCAAGTTTCTGAGACCGGCTCCTCCTAACCCCAAGGTGTCACCCTGCGTACAAAGAGACATGTGTATAAATATAAAAGGCATGGTCTTTGGAAACGTCCATATTCATGCATGAGCCACAAATATTAATTTTGCTTGTATGTTAGATTTTGAGCTGAACTGTATAAGGAAAACAACATTTGCATTTGTTTGTCAAAGTATCATTTAATTCTACCTGTCTTGTGCTTGTTTTATACACCATACTGTTTAGCATTAGCTAATAACTAATGCAGAGTGACAAATATTTTAACCTGGGCTGTAAATACAATCACACTAATAGTAACACACCTGATGACTTACTCAAACCTTCATGTTTTAATGTACAGAACAGCTTTATATCCAAAAATGTCCAGAACTGACACTGGAGTATTTACTGTAACTTAATTTTACATCTGGGATTGATAGTAGTACTTCCTTTTTACCTGAGGGAATCAAATCTGTAATGTAAGCTAAGAGAGGCTCTTCAAAAACACGAATGCCCTCTTATCAGAATAGTATCAGCGGGTCCAAATGTAAAGAGATTTCCACTTGGGGAAATAGTCGATGCTAATTACAGAAACTTTCAAAGCCCTGAAGGGCATTTTCTGCTACAAATGAACAGATGGGAATCAGTTTAAGCTGTACTCGATTATCCTTTCCACAGCACTAGCAGATAAGAATACATTTCACTTTTTTTCACAAGTTTTTTCACACATTTAAATCAAACACAGTAGAACTTATCTGGGGACTGCTTTGGTGGCGGGGATCCGTCAGGACGTGTCGTGGTTCTGTGAGAGTGTCAGACGTGACACCCTGACGCAGCTCGTATCATCGCACGGACAGGTACACGGATTCATCTTGACTGATGGAGTCCAGCGATCAGGACGTGTCAGATAACTAATAACTTTAGGGGTGGTGGGCAGTGAGTGATGGGATGAGCTGGTGTTGGAGGCGGGGGGGGGGGGGGGGGGGGGTGGGCAGGCTTCTCCTTCGGCTATCCGCTAGTAAGCCATTTCCCCAAGAATTCCGGGCGGGCACGACGGCGAAGGGGACATCAGCGGAAACGCCTAAAATCAGACCCGCGGGCCATAAGAGGCATCACTTCAGACAGATATTTATTGGAGATGACAGTTTGCAAATATCTCAATCTAGGGGAAGGCTCTTGGGGTGACGCTGAGGGGAACCATGAAATTGGAGGAGTCAGCAGCCAGCGTTTATTCCATCAGGGCCCTGCCGATGAGAAGCACGGCCTGACAGGCGCAGATTGGCGCCGGACGCTCAGCTCCTGTCCCTCAGACACGTTAATCCATTCTGCATAGATCAGAATTAAGTCCTCTAATGAGACCACACAAAAAAAGGAAAGAAGAGAAATACATGACGAATCTTCTTGTTAGATTTGGGTGCTGGTTGGGCTTACTTCGTGTGACAGTGATGTGAGCTCGTACTGTGTAGCTAAATAAAAAAATTGCTGGCAGTGTGAGAGGAGAGCAGGGAATCATCCTGTGATGAGATGACGGAGAGATCAGCCTGTAATTACTAACCTTTTAATAAATGTCTACCTGAAAAAGTCTATTTATAATTACTTTAGCTTTTTATGGTTTTATGATTTAGAGTGGAACGTGCTTCACAGCCGTTTTCAGTCTGAATACGCTGTAGCTACATCTGAGTACTTTTGGGAAACTGCACTATTAAATGAGAAGGGAAACAACAGTGTAAAAACAAGGCGACGATCAGCCATTTCAGGATTTTACTTTTTATTGCACTTCACTGCACCTAAAGTGCAATAAAAAACAAAAGTTCTATAATGATAAATGCAGTCCTTTAGGAAATGCTGGGTTCTTCCTTTCATGACAGCTTCTGGAAATTTGCTGAGCTCCATAGAACGCACATTTCAGAGAAGTTTCAGGCTGGATGGATGAATGGCTTAGAAGATATATTAATAAATTCCAGATGGCCATTATGACAACCATATTGTTCAGTTTTCACCATTATGATGACTCTAGTTAAGCTCAAAATGAAAACAGTTCAGAGGAGACATGGAGTTTAGCTTGAATTTTTAAGGATTGGTGTCCATGACCCTGCACTGTATGCACAGAGGTGGATGAATGGACCGATAGACCAATGAATGCATGGCAAGGAATTCTCTTAAACTTTAACACGCATAATCCATCATTGCAATATCTATTGGGCTAATGTGATCATTAAAAAGAAGGGGTAATAATTACAAATACAAGTACACAATTACAATGACAATTACTTAAATTTTATGATACTATACTATACTATACTATAATGCTATACAGACATTCCTGACTTCACAACCGAGTTCTGTTCCTACCACTAAGTTGTCAAGCGAATTGGTCGATAAGTGAGGAATCGCCTCTTACCGATATTTCAAGCATACTGTACTGGTACTGGGTTTGTGTCAACCATCTTTAGATCTTTATTGTCTCATTTGCACCATTTATAGCATTTCTAGTATATTTAAAGATGTTTATACAGTAGTGTACTGTATATTGTAATAAACAGTGTACTGTTCCTGGTACATGTTTTCTCCGCATGTGACAGGTGAAAATCTGTGACTGAAACTGTAATAAACCAAACACAGAAAAGACTTTGGAGATCTCATGTCCAGCATAGCAAAGTTACAACAAGCCATTGCTTTTGAAAAGTACTGTATAAGACACAGCAGAACTTTAACCTGGCACACATCCGTGCTTTACGCACTACTGGAGATTCCCTAACCCCTCGATATAAAGCATATGCATCAAACTAAAGTGAAACTGATATGGCATACCAAAATAAAGGTCAATTACTGCCAACAATATACAACCTTCCTTCACCAAATAAAGGAGGAGGAGCGTCTGTAGAGTGTACAATGCCGACTGGTCCGAGAGCTGGTCGCAAGTCCGGGAGGTCAGTTAACAGGTAATTACTAACATTAGGAGCGTCTGTACAGTGTTTTGTCCTTTCAGTGATTAGCAACCACCAATGTTTGTTGGGTGACATGCTGGGTGTGCTGCTTTGCACCAGTAGGGTTGAGGTTTTTGGAGAAATGTGGGATCCCTCCAAGTTCTCCGGTTCCCTCCGATAGTCCGAAGAGGTGCAGTTGGTGTCCAATTTGTGTCTCCAAATTAACCACAGACTGGAATAGTCCAAAGCACAAGTCACGGGGACAGGATGGACAGGATGACAGTGCACACAATCAAATACACAGGCACTTAAACACCAATTCAAATGTGTCTTTCAGGAAGACTGATGGCAGACATAACGGAGTCCAACTACAGGCCTCTAACTCTGCGTACCCAGGATAGCGAAAGAAATAGTGGACAAAAAAATCTGCCTGCACCCCAGTGCACACCTGACTGGGGGAGGGGGGGACACTATTGTTTCCTAAAGGCCTTCATCTGTTTCTCGTTTCTGCGCTGCTTTGGTGAAATATTAAGGTGTATAAAAACACAGAATTGCCCCTGCTCATTAAGGAAAACCATCTGCTAATTATTTCAGCAATGTAATATACAATGTGGCAATGTGGTTAAGCAAGAAGGATACACAATCATTCTCTAAATCCACCATAATAATAGCGTGAGGTAATAATATCATTATAATACACTATTACAGTATTGTGCTTAATTTAATAGGTATGGGAACTGCATAGGGAAATCTTGTTGGTGAGAAGCATCTTCTATCTTTCTCGGGTCCTGGTCTGACCCATATTCAGGTGGAACGGCATCCAGAAGCTTGGGGGTGGGACTGGCCATGGGTGAGGCACAGCAGCTGAAATAGCATTAAACAAATTATGAAAATGATTTCAAAAGAAAGTCTATCATTCACAGACAGATTAAGGCTAAAGTAAAGAGAGACGAAAGCTGTAAAAAAGTCTCCATTTTAACAGCAGTGGGGATAGATTTGGTGTCTTTTATTTGCTGGCTGCTTGTGGGTAAACGAGGGTGAAGGAAATAACATTAACATGCAGACACACGTGTGACTGACGAGTCACATAAGAGTCACATAAGAGAATCACAGGCGCAGCAGGAGCGGCCGGCCTCACGTACATCAGACGAGGTCACAGAAGATGAAGAGACCTGACACACGCTCCATATGCTACAGGATCGTCCTGTAATGGGAAATAAAAAGCTAAGTCCCATTTTGAACCAAAATCTATTGCCCACCCCCCCACACACCTGGCATTTTATCTTTTAGGAGGTGGGCATTCCTTAATTCAGACTGAAAGAGCCTCAGGTCAGCCAAATCACCCACTTTTCTCAACGGACAAGTTGGGCAAAGCTGAAAGGCAGCACCTGTAATGCTGTTGTTCACGCAGACAGTCATCATCTGGGGTAACCAACTAGCCTACAAACTGATTTGATTTGAATACTTAGCTTTAAAATGCATGACTGGTATCTCCCAGTGATGTGCGTTCGCTTCGCTTTTTTAGCATTCGCCATTAAAACACGCTGGCAGGCTTTTTTTTTGTGACCTTCTGATGCGCAGACCGCAGAGTGATTTTGCGTTTCGGTTATGAAGGGTAATTTTGCAAGTGTGATAGGAAGGGTTAGGATGATGTACCCTGGCAGAGTACCAGTCCGGGCGTTAAAGCCATATGGCCGGCAGGGCCCTGGGTTATATGAAACATCCTCCTTTGAGGTGCTCAGCAGCAATTAGAACTCAGAAAACAGTCATAAACACCAGCATTTTACCGTCTTCTGCTGTCATTTAATCCTGCCATTAGCTGCGGTTGACGGTCGGCTGATCCCTTCGCCTACTTGTTCTACTCATTTTCATACTCTGGAAATATGTTTTTTTTTTCTAAGATAGAAATTATTATTAGTACAGAGCTTAGTACAGATTTAGAAACGTTAATGAATGTGGTTACATTTTCCTTCTGTAAGCCCGCTCTCAGTTCATGAACTCTGAGACTATAGGTCATCGTCCACAACAGTCCTCTTCAAAAACAAAGACAAGCAATTTCCCTGCTGGTAAGAAACCAGTTATTACCCCATTACCCTTAATAGAGTTAATAATACAGACAACTGGCTTTTAATTACTGTTGTATAGTGGAGGGCAACTTTGAATAACGCACTATTCCAGGGTGTTGCTTAATTAAAGACACATACATATTTTAATGGTTTAATACAACTGTTTTATAAATTTACTGCAAAATATAATAAAATGTTATACATTTTAAATATATCTTCAGAATACATATTGAGCTTTCAATGAAAAGGTAGCTTTATTTTCACAGTATGTAATAGGCAGAAACACTTCCGATTAACGGTTTCAGTCCAAATGGTTGCAATCAAGCCTTTTGTTTAAAATAATTCACTTGATTTTGCACTTAAGGTTTTGTTTATACTGTAGGTTTACTCCATGTTCTCTGGTTTCCCCCCACAGTCCAAAAAATTTGGAGTTGCCAAATTGCCCATAGATGTGAATGGTGTGAGTGAGCCCTGCAATGGGTTGGCGCCCCACCCTGGGTTGTTCCCTGCCTTGTTCTTGTAGCTTCCAGGGTAGGCTCTGGACCCCCCTCCATGCAACTTCTCATAGGGCAAGGGGGTATAGAGGATGATGGATGGATGGATGGATGGATGGCTTTGTTTAAAGTCTAGAATGGCAGAACTGGGGTCAACTGCATAGTGCTTTGGACAGTGATGCTTTAATATTTCACCTGGTTTATTTTAGCTTTCTGAATGTTAAAAAGGAAATTCCTCACAAAGGTTATATTAAGCTTATTTTCCCCACTGACAGATCATTTCCAAGATGTCCAAAGGAAATTGTATTACCTTCACAGGAATGCATGGACTCTAGTTTTACTGAAAATAATTACCCTGACACCAAAAGTCATTTCTTTTTATTTGAACTGCATGGAAAATAAAGTTTATGGGCTCACAAAATTATCAGCATTTTTCTTGTCTCTGTATCAGGAATTTGGTGTGATATTTACATTACAGCAGAGTCTTTTCATTGACTATTCCTCCATCTGACAAGAATCTTTGATGCTATTTAAAAGCAAATACATTGAAATGATCACTGAAAACTGCATGAAACGCCCACTACTGGCTCTGAATGGGAAAGGAGGAAATGACATTACACCCGAAAAACAAAAAAGCATTCGCTTTGGTCAATGTCAAAAAATTATTGCATTTCTTTGAAATTGCCATTTAACATTTAGATTTTTTATTTCATATTTAACATTAAGTTTCTCTAGTCATATGGTGCCTGCATATTTATGGCTTATTACTGATATGCAAAGTCAGTGTTTGACCTCCAGTGTATAGGCATTCTTATTAACATACAATGCAGAGATGAGATGTATACAGATGTGCTCTTCTTTAAAAACAGAATAGCTAATGTCAGAAAAACAACTCTGTTTATGGGGGGGGGGGTGCTGTTTCCCTAGCAATATCTTTTAATTGCCTCAGACAAATTTGTTTTGAGATGAGCATCAAATTGAGAACATTAAGGCGTGTTTCAGCAGATGATCACGTTAAAGGCAAGTCCAGAGGGAGTGCCATATTCTGCCATAATGAGGGGAGCTAATGAAAGACTTCACACTGACAGATGTATCCATTTAAAACAGTAATAACCACAGTTAAGATGGCAAAGAGCAAATTGTACAGAACTTTCATTAAGGGCCACATTTGTTGGGGCTCTGTTGGGACATCTCATTTTTTCTTCCCCTGGAGGGTGACGATCCAATATAGTATATCAGAGTCCCTCACACAAGGTTAAAATGTCAGCGACATTGGGCAGTAGCTTCCCAACATTGTCTATGAGGCAGTATTTACTTACCTGTCATCCTCTGACCAAACCCCGGATAATTGCACTCAGGCACTTAATGTTATTTAATTAACACGATATTATTTCTGGACGAGAAGGACCACTTGGTGACCTCACATAATGTCCTTGCCCATTACTTGGTAATAGCGCGGTTCGGGGAAGGTGATCTCAGCAGAACATTGTACTACCTCACTTCAGCCATAAATTGCGCTGCTTGACCCCAAAGCCGTGCAGACCATCTCCCATGTGCAAAAAGCGGTCGGAGCTGAATGGTGCACTTTTCCTTCACCACATGAACTCCAGAAACTTCTTCGGGGGTATGATCCCTTCCTCAGCATTAATTACAAATGAAAACACAGCCAAAATGACATTAATACACTTTTAATTTGAGCTGTATGTTAATTGACATGCCTTATAATTACCACCTTAAGGGTACATCACTGGACTTTGATAATTGCCCCAAATTAATCTACAGTCATTAATAATTGCAATTCCTCCATCTCCATTTTTTTTTCAGTGCTGTCTGCCATGAGCCGCTTATCAGATATACAGTGAGGTCCATGGAGCTCTGACATCCATCCATCCATCCATTATTCAAAGAGTTAGAGTCAAATTTGGTTGGGAATGGAAAGACAGCATAAATAGCAACAGTTCCCTGGTATAGTTCTAGCAGCAGAATGTTCCAGATTCAAGTACATTTTAAACTTGAGCTTGAGAAATGTGCTAGCTATGGAGTTACAGAAGTGCCATAAAAAAGAATAAATCTGTAAAAGAATAACGAAATTGGTTGAGTAAGAAAGTGAAACACTAAGAAAAATAAATGAATAAGGAAAATAAGTTAAAAATAAAGGAATATGAAAATTAATGCTTTTCTTTATTGCTATTAATTTTACAAGCTTATTTTAACTTTACCGTATTGCTTATAATTTTGCGAATTGCTTTTATTTTTACCGCATTACTTTTGCTTTTCCTCAAAGGGACAAACTGTCAATCATCTAGCTTTGGGCACGCCTTCCTGCCCAGGCTGAGTAGTCAAATCCAGCACGCATGAATCCTGCTCTAGCTGCAGACGCCTGTAGAGTGGAGCTCCACTGGAAATATGTCACCTACACAAGAAACACGTGATCTCAACTCTGTTTTACAGCGAATAAACCCTAACCGTAACCATAACCCTAACCGGACCTCCACTTTACATCCTTAAAGATCACGTGTTTCCTGTGGAGGTGATGTATTTCGGGTGGAGCTCCACTCTACAGGCGTCTGCAGCTAGACTCTCTTGAAAATTCCGGCGAATAAACCCTAACCCTCTTGCTAGGGTGACCAGAAAATCCATGTCAGGGAGGACACTTGAGTTACTTCGGGTTTTACAAACTACTTTCAAATTGAAAGGCTCCTGTGCTCGGCTAAATAGTTTAGCTCTTCTTGTGCTTTGACTGGTTTGTTTCCTTGACTGAAAGACTCATCCAGCTGTTTCACATTAGCATTAGTGACACATGCATGCTTATAGGAGACTGACCAATCAGCACACAGCAAGAACTCAGTGCTCAACCGAAATCGAGGTCCGTTTAATTGAAATGCTAATTTACAATTCCTGTCCTACCTCAGAGTGTCCTCCCTGACATGGATTACCTGGTCACCCTACCTCTTGCTCTCTCTTGGCGCTAACAGAGTAGAGGTCACGTGTCTCTTGTGGCGCGCCACTTTACGTCCTTAAAGATCACGTGTTTACTGTGAAGGTGACGTATTTCCGGTGGATCTCCACTATACAAGCGTTTGCAGCTAGACTATCTTGGCCCCGGAAAGGACATAGAGCGGGAAAAAAAATCGGCGGTCGAAAAAAAATAAATAATGACTGCGCTGTGTCCGTACAAGTACAAAAGGTAGAATTTATTTATGGCTTAAGTACAAACCTAAACAATACAGACATGTCCTGTAACGTGTACTTTAAGGATTAAGCCTTGGGGGACAATGCACGCCATATAACTTTCATGTGATGTGTTTTCTTTACTTTTATTAGCCTGCTTTGCCTTGCGGTAACCCGTCTGCTTCTGGCTAGCTACCTGATGCTAATGCTGCGTGCACAGAAAACATGGCGGGAAAAATAAAGCCATTTTCTCTCAATGACAAATATAGACTCATCAAAGCTTAAGACAAACTAACAAAAACAAGCAGCGAAGCTACAATTTTATGTACCGTACCGAACTGATTTTTAGTGTATTTGAGTTATACACAGTTCAGTAATTTGTACAATACTGTAAATTGAAAAGCGTTTGAAACCGCCATACCGTATTCTGAAAGTCAACAAAATTAAGTATATAGCGACGCTGTCCGTTTTATTACCTTATATTCATGTAATAAACATATAAATGTGAATTATATGGACAAAAAAGTAAAAATCGGCTATAATGATCGTCCACATGTATTGATCAGTTTCACCCAGACAGATGAGATCACTAACTACATGTGGAAGCGGTTTACACTGAATGTGGTTTTGTTAGCTAGTTATTTGTTAGATATTGGGTGATAGATACTACTATCAAAGCCGGACACGGGCTTCTATTTATACTTATATATGTTTATATATGTACATATGTTTATGATTCTTATTAGATCTGGCCAACAGATGGCTCTTTCGTTTTCCACAGAATAAAGAAGTTTCATATCACGCTAAAGTATATTGATTATACATAGAATTTTCCGCTGCAGGAATATAGAAACACAAGCAAAAAATGTATCAATGGATACATTAAAAATGTAATCGAGGTACAAAAATAATTCCACCGGCTCAATTTATGCTCTATTACTTCTGTCTCTTTTCCTGCACTTCCGTACGTGTAACTTCCAAGTTAACCGATGTTTGTCGTCAACCAGTCAGCAGGTTTATTTCCGGCTCGTGTTCGAAGGAAAAGTACCGAGTCTGGAGTAGGTACTTAAAAGGGTTCCGGAACTGCGCCCAAGGACCTACGATCGAGTCGAGTTCCTACGGTGTGAACATGGCGAAATTACCTAGTTCCAGAAAAAGTTTCTGCGGTGTGAAAGTGCTTTTAGTAAAACGTGGCCACGTTTCAACATCTGGCACGATATTAAAAAAATGTGACGACGATTTAACTAAAACGTTTTCCGCAAGTAACGTGTCACATACGAGGGTAACGCCTCTTGTGTCAGATGAAAAAAACTGAATGTTGAATGTGAGCGCTTGTTCCATTTTTTCCATTTTTGATTTGAGAACAAATTTGGAAATCGGAAAACAAGTCCAAAGCAGGATAGGATTCATGTGTGCTGGAACTGACAACTCATCCTGGGCAGGAAGGCGTGCCCAAAGCCAGTTAATTGACAGCTTGTCCCTTTATTAAATCAATACCGTAAAATTAAAAGCAAAATAGTAAAAGGAAAAGCAATAAGGAACGAAGCAAAAACAATAAATAAAAGCATAAATTTTCTTATTCCTTTATTTTTAATTTCTTTTCCTAATAATTTAGTTTTTCTTAGTATTTATTTCACTTTCTTATTCAGCATTTATTTCCTTATTCTTTTACAGATTTATTCTTTTTCTTGGCAATCCTGTGACCCCATAGCTGTCCTTTGGCCAAGGTACCCAAGCAAAGCTTTTGATGGCTGAACAGTAAGTGGATGATAGCTTTTAAGGTTTACAGGCAGCTACATTTAATGCATGTGTATAGATGGAGCGTGTGATTGCTGTTGCATTGATTTATATTTCATTGCTTGTCTGATTCATGAAGTAAAACCAGCTTGCGATTTTTGCACACTTTGAACAATTTCACAGTAGCAGTTCAGCTTGAGAACCTAACCAAAGGTGAAACAGCAGTGCTATTTTGGGACTCCTTTAGGTTTCAAGACCATATACTTAAGCTGGCACAGGACTCTCCCTTAGGGCCAGTTAACACTGAAATGCGAACTAGCCGATTTGCTAGCATGATTTCTAATGTACTGCAGAATCAGAAGTGTAAAAAATCTTTAACGGTTCTTAACTGGTGGGGCCAAACGGCAAAACATGTGGGGGGGAGTGCCGTGAGTATGGACAGAATGGGGACAGTGCATATGACTGTACTGTATGCATGGACAGTGTGTGTGGACAGAATGGGGACAGTGCATANGTGCATATGACTGTACTGTATGCATGGACAGTGTGTGTGGACAGAATGGGGACAGTGCATATGTGTATGTAAGAGTGTGTAAGCACAGTGTGTAAGCACAGTGTGTAAGCACAGTGTGTATGGATAGTGTGCATTGTACATATGGGCAGTATGCTGCTCAGATTCATTAATTGACCTTTGGAATCTACGACAGGCACAAAATGGTGCCAACACCCTCCTGTGTGCTTTACACATGAAAGATCATCATGTCGTCGCCGGATAAAGCCCCTTGCGGACAGGGCGCCTCAACGCCCTCCAGCGCACAGCTCTGCCAGGCTGCTGTTGCTGTCAGCAGCTAATCATGCTAGGTATGTGGGTTCCATCTGAAACGGGCCTGCGACAAGGTGAGCATCCACAGATGTGCTACAGTACCGCAGTTGACAACGTGACAGAAGCCTCAGGGAGCCCTGCGTACTCACAACATAACGTTTACCTCTCGTACTGCTGTATCTCAAAGAGCGGCACAGCAATGAAATTACCCAGCATATCGTTCAAGACTCTGTGGTGCCGTGCAGAATTATCAGGAGAATGCCTTATACATATCGAAACACTACCTGAGGATATATTTCTCAGATCTGCTCCTTCTCTTCCATCCATCTTCCAACAGTTTTTCCTTGTTAGAGCTCCAGGGAGTGTGGAGCTTATCGCATGCAGCATGGGACACTAAGCAGTGCTGTGCACTGGACAGAACACCAGCGAAGAGCAGAGGCAGGGCTGAAACCTCAAACCCAAGAGGCGTGAGGCGTTAGGGCTAGTCAGTGAGCCACTCTCATGGTTGCATTTGATTTTGTTATTCTGAATTTTTGTTTTATGACTTATATCTTGTTTTACATATACGATTTATTAATTGATTTTTAAATAATTATTTTTAATGCAGTAAGTCATTAAAACGTGCTGTTCCTTACAATGCATTCAGAAGGTGTTGGAGTTTGACGGCTGCCTACGGGGGCAGGGTGGGCGCAGCCCATCTTACAAACGTGGAGCACTTGCATATGCATGCACTGCTCTTAGGCCAGGCGCTCGATGTGATGTCTGGAGATGAAATCATACTGTGCTTTTGAGGGCCAGCTAGGGGCAGCTATGTATAATCTGATTTAGACTAAAGCTACCCCTTTTATTTTTAATTGTCCCACTGTAGCATTTAAGAGCTATTGATCCCCCGGAAAAGCATTAAGAAAAGGAATGACTATTACTGTTAATATTCCCTGCTTGGTAAAGACACATCAAAGGACATTTGAATGTCACAGACTTTCTGAGGGAATTTGTAGCTTAGGGTTTAACAGGCTAGCCTATGAGCGAAAAGGACACGCGATAGACAAATGCAGAAACAAATGTGAGGGCAATTTGGAGCTAATCAAATTTTATCTAAGCATTGATTTTGGGCAAAAGTTTGCCATGTATGGATTTCAAAAGATGACGGTATTTAAAAGTCAAACGCTCAGCGTCAACTGGCGGTGCTGTGGTAGAAGGGCGGCTGCCTATGGATTTATTATGATTATCCGATGTCCAGGAAGGCCAAGAAATGAAATTCTAATCCTGCACAAAAGGTTCCCTTGCTGGAATTAGAATCAGTATAATGTGTTGGTGTCATAGGGGAGGTGCGGGAGGCATAAATTCACGTGCATGGTAAATATGCACATTATATGTATGACATGCTATATGTATATGATTATATAATTTACTCACAGAAATACATATAAATACAACCCCATTTCCAAAAAAGTTGTGACGCTATGTAAAATGTAAATAAAAACCAAATGTCATGCTTTGAAAATCATATAAATCCATATATAATTGAAAATAAAGACATATCAAATGTTGAAACAGAAATTTTATTGTATTATGACAAATATATGCTCAATTTGAATTTGATGCCAGCCACATGTTTCAAAAAAGTTGACGGGAAAAGTTGTGTAATGCTAAAACAAAACACCCGGTTCAATATCTGACAACTAATTAGGCTAATTGGCAACAGGCCCGTAAGATGATTGGGTATAAAAAGAGCCTCCCAGAGAGGCAGAGTCTCTGTGCAGTGAAGTTGGGGAGAGATTCACTATTCTGTAGTCTGTGTGGGCAAATAGTGCAAGAATTTAATTGTTCCTCAATGTGATATTGCAAAGTAATAAGAATTTGAGAATTTCATCATCTGTGGTACATAATGTCATTCATTTAAAAGATCCAGCGAATCCAGAGAAATCTCTGTACGCAAGGCAAAAGACCGAAAACCAATACTGGATAGCAGTGATCTTTGAGTCCTCAAGCAACCCTGCATTAAAAATAGATACAATTCTATAGTGGAAATCCCTGCCTGGGCTCAGGAACACTTCCAAAAACCGCTGTCTGTGAACACAGTTCATCACTGCATCCACAAGTGCAGGATGAAAATCTACCATGCAAAGAAGAAACCTAAACGAGATCCAGGAACGGCGCCGACTTCTCTGGGCCAGAGCTCATTTAAGATGGACTGAGGCAAAATGGAAAACTGTCCTGTGGTCTAACGAATCAAAACTTCAATTTCTGTTTGGAAATCATGGACATCACATCCTCCAGGCTAAAGAGAAGAGTGACCATCCAGCTCATTATCAGTGGACAGTTCAAAAGCCAGCATCTGTGATGCTATGGGGCTGTATTAGTGTCCATGGCTTGGGTAGCTTGCACATCTGGGAAGGCACCATTAATGCTGAGGGATATATACAGGCTTTGGAGTAAACACATGCTACCATCCAGATGTCTTTTTCAGAGAAGGCCTTGCATATTTCAGCAAGACAATGCCAATCCACATTCTGTGTGTATTACAACAGCGTGGCTTCATTGTAGAATGGTCCAGGTGCTAGACTGGCCTGCCTGCAGTCTAGACCCGTCACCCTTTGAAAATACTGAAACTTATATAAGGCAAGAATGGCAGAACATTTCACTTTCAAAACTCCAGCAACTGGTCTCCTCCGTTCCCAAACGTGTACAGAGTGTAATTAAAAGAAGAGGTGATGCGAGAAAGTAAACATGCCCCCGTCCCACTTAATCTAACCTTTATGTAACGTGTTGCTGGCTTCAAATTCAGCATATATTTGTCATAAAACAATAACATTTCTCTTTTAGTATTTCATGTGTTGTCTTTGTTCTATTTTCAATTAAATATGGGGTTATGTGATTTGTAAATCATTGCATTCTGCTTTTTTACATTTTAAACAGTATGTACTGTAATTTTTTTTTCCACACATACATGTATATATGGGACCCAGTAATATATATTCATTAAGGTTCAACCTTCAGGCTCCACCTGTCCAGACCTACATAAGTGTTTTTATCCTTCATTATTCTAAGTCAAGTACATCTAATAGGTGGAAGAAGTTCACACAAAATGTGATCCATACTTTTTATCCTAAGCCAGCGTCTTTTCTAATCTTAAAAGTCTACAACCTGAGTCTACATTGTAAGTGCAAAATTTCATTCACAAAAAGTCAGTAATTTAAGGTGGATCTTTCATATGACTGGAGTCTCTGTGTCTGGTATAAACATTCAACGAGATCCCTGTGCATCCGTCATGATGCTTTCTGGGAGTCACCTTACAGGATGTCACCCTCTTTTGTTCTTCCTTTATCTGCCTGGCTTTTACGTACCAGGGCATTTCCCTCTCATATTGCTCTTTTACTGCATGTTAAATCTTCACATATACAGTATGTAGCCTCTCCAGACACTCTAATATAAAGAAACAAGAAAAGTCTTCAGTGAATCTCATGGGCTTTTTCCTCAATGTCCTATTCACCAAGCCAGAAGATTCAGGCCCACAGCTGTGAGAGCGTTTTTCCCCGTTGCGCTTAAATCTTTTAGGCTGCACTCCAATGCCCCAAAACACGACTCTGCTCCCTGTGCTTTACAGCACTGCTCATGTCTAAATGCCCAGGTACCTTCTCAGCCCTCTGTGATTTTAACACGATCTGCCCTGGCTCTTTGTTGACCAGCTTTAACGATGTTTTTTTCCCCCCCCAGCTTAGACACGTCTTCCACCCAGACCCCCAGATGTTTCGATTAGCAGTGGCTTATATGCCGCTCAGATCCCGGGATTAATGACGGATAATTTGCCCGAGGTTGGCACGAGGCGCTGCCACACTGCCAGCTCTGGCTTTGCCATATGTGGTGAAGCAGCTGTTTTCATTACTCTCCCATGCCCAGATGTGTCAAACAGGACGGCAGCTTCAATCCGGAGCCTCGCTGGCACGCAGCGGGGGGAGTGCCTTCCACTGGCTTGGCAGCTAATTACTTTAATGTAGCTGGGGATGGAGGCCCTGCATGTTTTTAAAGGGCTTTTACAAATCGCCCGATGCCAGCTGTCACCTCAGCAAACAATGAGGGAAGAGTGATAGGCCGTACTCAGCGACCAGCCATCCAATGCATGCCCACCGGCCAGGAGGCGGGGGAAGGTCACTTCCCGCCAAAGCCAGTGACCTGGGCATCGCACCGTCCTCACTAGCCGGGACGCCAAGGTGGTACACTTCCTCTGGGGCATCTCACGCTGCTCAGATGTGCAGGCTTCTCCTCCACAGCGCTGGCAGGCCTGCAACGGCGGCACCCTGACGCTAATGCTGGGGACCTGTAGACCGGCGCCCGCTGAGCCGTAGCCAGGAAAGCAAACAGAACGGAGGCTAATGCAAAGATGCCAGTCTGCCCTTTATATGGCACTCTGGCAACTTGCTGGATGACATAACATTTTCCTGCTCCAAGGATTATGGTCTTGTCTTGTGTTGTAACTTGTTATGCCATTTTAGGTTAAATGTCATGACTCTTACCTCTCTGAAATATGTAGTATCTTGGTCATTTTAATGACCAACTTGTCACTGTGACATTAAATATTCTGTGTAATATGCATAATAACATAAGTAATCAACATTCATTTTATGTATTCAGAATGAGGAATCAATAAGCCAACTGTGGTCTTACAATCATTGGCCACTTTATTAGGTACATCCATTGAACTGCTCATTGAAGCAAGTATCTAATCAGCCAATCATGTCAGCAGCACTATGTGTAAAATCATGCAGAAACATGGTTAATGCTCACATCAAACACCAGAATGGAGAAGAACCCAGGTATGCAAAAGAATGTCTCTGTATGTACAACACATCGAACCTTGAAGCAGATGGACCACAGCAGGGAAACTGAGGCGAAAGTGGGCACAGGCTCACCGAAATTGGACAATGGAAGATTGGAAAAGCATTGTCTGGTCAGATGAGACTCGATCTCTCACGCAAAATTCGCATGGTAGGGTCAGAATTTGGCGTGAACAACATGAAAGCATGGATCTATCCTGCCTTGAATCAACAATTCAGGCTGCTGCTGGCGGTGGGATGGTGTGGGGGATATTTTCTTGGCACTCTTTGGGCCCCTTAGTACCAACTGAAACATTGTTTAAATGTTACAGCCTACCTGAATATTGTTGCTGACCATGTCCATCCCTTCGTGACCACAGTGTACTCGGCTTCTAATGGCTACTTCGAGTAGGATAACACGCCGTGTCACAAAGCTCTTATCATCTCTGACTGGTTTCTTGAACATGAAATTGAGTTCACTGCACTCAAATGGCCTCCACAGTCAGCAGATTTCAATTCAACAGAAGACCTATGGGATGTGGTGGAACAGGAGATTTGCATCATTGTGGTGCAGCTCACAGATATCCAGCAATTGTGTAATGCTATCATGTCCACATGGACCAAAGTCTGAGGAATATTTCAAGAATTAAGTAAAATTAAAGGAGTTCTGAAGGAAAAGGGGGGTCCAACCTGGTACTAGCAAGATGTACCTAATAAAGTGGCCAGTGAGTGTATTTTGTCTGTTTTATTACTCAAATGGAAGCAACCCAAATCAAATACATTTTCCTGTTACTCTAGGCCCAAACATATGGTCCTAAGCCTAATTCCCAGCCTCCTGATTACTGATTCCCATCAATATTGCCTAATTTCTCCACTAATGCAAATAGTGGCATAGCAAGTAATAGTGATTTACTCCTCACCACCTCACAGGACCAAGTGCAGAGGTTGTCAGTAGGGTCAGAGGATCAGTCAGTAGTTTGGGGTGTGGTCTGTTTACCCATTACCCTGCGCGAACAACTCATGAATTTAACAGAATGACCTTGTGATGTCTCACTCTGTGGTGTTCCACCAGTGCAAACACTATTTGTCAGCATCAGAGCACTCTCATTTTACTCATGCTGAGGGGAAAGCTGCTTGTAAGTGTCTTGAAGTAAGCATGAATTCAGCAATTTTCTTTTGTCCCACTCTCATCCGTACATAACAGCGTAAGGCGTTGCTCTGTCATTACGCTGCATTTCCGTATCGATCCCCGGCTGGCCTGTTCCTCCCAGCAGGGACAGGATTGGAAAAGACACTGTAAAATCAAAACCAGGCCATTTTGTAAAAGACCAGCTTGCAATTTCAGATTATGCTCTGAAATGTTTACAACAAGCGGGGAATTGTTAAATCCTCGCACGGGTCGTTGGAGGAAAGATGGATGTCACTTTGTGTTTCTGTAACGACACAAACAGGATAGCGGCTGATTTTACTGCCATTGCCCGTGTGGTAAATACCTCATTTCTTTTGTGGCACTCTCATATCAAGCTTTCCGACTGGAAGGCATTCTCCACCCAAGCTGGCTTTCTTCCTCTACACATGCAAACAATCGCTTATTTTAATTTTATAACAAACTTTTTAGAAAGAATTATTAGTTTTGACTGAAATTCTCTCAGATTTGCTTATGAGACATAGCAGAGAATAGGGACAGGTTAGAATCGCTCTTGTACTGTTCAGCTTGTTAGCATAATGATTTAACATGTTGTGTCTTTGGTATCAGTGAGTACACACAGCTCTCCAGTTTAGATATTTGATTTGTTGTGCGGATTTGTACGTACATACATGTATTTAAATGTGTTTTTTTTTTTGCAGTTCTCATGCTTTGTTCTTTTAGGTAGAAGTGGAATTAGACTATGCAGAGACTGAGGAACAGTGACATTTCCTAAGTGACATTTTTTTGTTCATATTAAATCTTAAATGCCTCTCAAGTATCTTTATTGAATATTTTATAGGTTATTCAGATTTTATTTCATTAGGAGTAGAAAAGGCTCTAGAGGTAACTCTCCTGTTGAAATGCGTGACATTTGGCTTGAGATGATGGAAGCCTGCTCTCTGCTTCCTGACTGAGGACGCGCTCCCTCGCTCCACGTCTTCCTGCTGTGCTGTACTGTGCTGTCACCTGACCTACTGTCCTTAAGCGTGACCCGCAGCACTGTCAGTGTGTGTTATTGACAGGAACCCAAGGTCCACACACACCCCATCCTTTGGTTCTCATGCCCATTTTCCCCTGCATGCTTTTTATAAAGGCACCGGTGCACGCTTGCTGGGGGGACTCACGGCGTGCCCCACTCGCACGGCCCATTCACCACTGCGGCCCATGCCGCCCGTCGCACGGAGGCCAGCCTCAGACACACGGCATCTGGATCTTTGGATTGCAGCTATGAAATGATCATTTGAAAAAGAAAAAGGAGACATACAGGCCTCATTCAAAACCAACTTTGTTCTCCAAACTGGAAGATTGGATTTTCTTTATTAAATTATCCCTCTTGTTCATACACTCAAGGGGGCCTTTGGCTAAGGCGCCTGAAACCTCATCTCGGTGGCTGTATGTGAGGCTGGTATAATACGGGGGGGGCTCTGAGGAGAATGAAAGGGTTTTGTTCTCTGGGTGCCCTTCTGCAAGAAAGGCTCCATTTGGAGTTTTTTTTTTTTTTACTTTCTTCTGCGCTCCTCTCTGTCGTGCCACAGCATTAGCCCTGAGCCTCGCGCCGAGAGGGCGCTTTGATGTGCCCCCGTCGAGCCGCCACCCCCCTGTGCCCTGATTGGTGGGTTGCAGGCGGGGCCGACGGGGCCGCGTGGGAGTGGACAGGGATGAAAGCGTGCGGGGCATCGCGAGGGCACCTGCACACAGAGCCCGGCCTGTGCACAGATTCATCTTCAACCGCCTCGACTGACCGGGGATTGAACCCCCTCTGTCAGACCCCGATGTGAGCCTGTTGTGGCAGGCATCTGGGTCTTTCTTTAAAGATTAGTGCGTGTGTGTGTGTATATGTATGTGTGTGTGTGTGTGTGTGCATGTGTGTATATGTATGTGTG